GGGGCACAATCACCTCCCTGCTCCTGCTGGCCACACTATTCCTGATCCAAGCCAGGATGCTGTTGGCCTTCTTGGCCACCTGGGCACACTGCTGGCTCATGTTCAGCCAGCTGTTGACCAGCACCCCAAGGTCCTTTTCCACCTGGGCAGCTTTCCAGCCGCTCCTCCCCAAGCCTGTAGCATTGCATGGGGTTGTTGTGACTGAAGTGCAGGACCCAGCATTTGGCCTTGTTAAACAGAAATTACAGAGCAAGAAGATATAAATGACCAGTTCAGTGGTGGACTGGCTAGCAACCTGCTGTTAATATATGGAATATAGCCTGAAAGCAATGAAGTTCAAACGTGAAGATCCTTCTGCATCCTCCTCTTCTGACAGCTCTCAGCTATTTAGTCTATGTCTCTCACTAATCTAAAAACGACATTTAAAACTACTAAGGAAGTTGCACAGCAAAACCTGGAGCACGAAAGATCTATTGTATCCTTTCCCAGCACCCACACTTACCCAAGTGGCCGTAGCCCACCACATTTTTGGCCTTCTGGCCCAGCCGAGCCCTCGTGTCAGTCACAAGATCATACAGCTTTCCCACAGGGAGAGAGATGTCGTATTTGTAGACATAGCCATCATGAGTGAGGGCCTCTGTGATCCTCTCCCGCAGGCTCCACAGCACCTGATGAATCAAAGATCAAAGAAATCCAGATAAATGAAGTACCTCTTGGGTTCCATGCTTTGTGGCACAGAGAGAAAACCAGCCTTGATTCTTTGCATATGACACCAACTTCTGATTTCCCTTGATATCCTCTGCCTCTTGGAAGCTAGTAATAATGCTTTCTTGGCAGCATCATACAGTAAAGTGATACGCCAACTCCTCAAGCTTGACAGTACCCCAGACAGAAAGAACATAGGCACAGGCATTCTCTCCAAAGCTGTTTTGGGTTTCCCAGGAAATGGGGATGTGCAAGGGTCGGTTTGGGAACTGGGGCTGGAAGAAAAATGGGTCAAAGACTCATGTTCACCGGGCAGACACAAATCGCTCTCCTTCTCACTGAGACACTGTGCATGGCAGTTTGGGTCCTTCCCCAGCAACTACTGCATGATGCAACTCCTTATTCAGATCTTTTTAAAAGGGGAAACATCCACTGAAACCCCACATACTCAGGCCTTCTGGGAAGAGTCAGCAGACGTAAGTATGCTTCTTACCACTCTTACTCAATATGCCAGATAAGCTACCAGGTCACTCAAGGATATTCATACCAAACATCAGTCTGAGCATTTCCCTACTAAAAATACAAATCCGAGCAGAGAATCATGTCGAAGAGATTTGTGCAAGAGGAAACAATGACTTGCCTTTATTTTCTTATCATCAGTTGCCACAGTTCCATCAGTGACCAAACCAGAAGTCATGGCCTGCTCCAAGAAGTTGTTCAATTTTTCTTCGTCATGGGTTGAGTTGGAGCCTGAAGTTTCAATTAAAACATAGAAAGGGCTGCCTGAAAGTGAGGGAGAACAGAGTAAGCAGATGCTCTGGGCGAAAGCACAGGAATCTAGTGCAGGTTTTGAAGCTTTTCCCAAGCTTGGCACATTTAATGAGGTCGCTTTATTACCCAAATTCTCTGGTGCCAGGCAGAAGGGCAGTGCAAGTGCCAATCTTATTGTAAGGCACTTCACTTGCATGCTCTATCCTTTACCCAGCCACCGCTTTTCATAAAGCTAGCAGTTTTGTGGGGACAAGTAGAAGTAAAAAGCCTTATCTTTAACAGACTTCCACCAAACATGTTTGAAATTGAATACCAGGTACAAAAATTCTGAGGGATGCCCACACGCTCACTGACATATACATGAAAAACCAGGCTAAAACTCCCCAAGCAGTCCAATGCCTCTTTCTACAGCATGAATGACACTGGTACCTGTCACTGGGCTGGACAGCTTGAGATGCCTCTCAACCAATTCCATGCACTTCTCATCCATGAACTCATAGGCTGACAGGATCTCTCCCAGCATGGCTCTGGAAGTTGTAAATGTTTCCAGAACCTTAGCGAAACTCTGACACCCTTCAGAGACAGAAGAGAAACAGGAATCAGGACCAAAAACCAGCCCCCCCAAACCTTGTAAACAGTTTTAAAAAGTCTATCAGGCTTCAAAGTTGTCTTCCCCATCTCCAGAAAACGCAATTACTCTTCGCTGTGGCAAGTACCTCTTGAACATTCTAAGACACTTCATACCAAAATGTCTGCCCCATCCTCCGTTCTCAGCACAGGAAATAAGGCAACCCAAGAGAAATTTAAAGGCCACTGTGAGAGTCCAGGCAAATTCTGGGGTCCACTGCACATATTCCACAGGTCTGTCAGCATTTGGGGTCTACTCTTCGCCTCCTAGCAGTTTAGCTTTCTGTTCTTAAGGCCACATCTGACACAAGCAAGCTGCCTGAGAAGTCCCTGCTGGCCTTGGAGGTTTTTGAGAAAAAAAAACATTCTCAGTGAAGGCTCCCCACAAACAACTCCGCTAAAACGGAGACTCAGAAACAGCTTTTAAGCAGCCATGCCCAGCCAGGTACCCTGCTAATCCAGCCCCTGACCTGTAGACTTGACTCCCCTGCCTTGCCTTGTCACGATGGATTTATCGGGTGCCCGCTGGATTGCGGCTGCCTCTGCCTACTGCCACCAGACTTGCCCTGCTCACCTCAACTTGTGTACTGTCAGACCGGGCCCTCATCCGTAAGGACACTGCCCTGCCTGCCTCTTTATCCTGCTAAGTTCTGGGCTCTCCTCTTCCCTTGCAGAGCAACCTGCCCTTGCAGGCATTTCACACATTTACACCACAGACATAACATACCCGCACAGGTATTTTAACATACAGCACCATTCTACTGCTCAGAAAGAAGGCGATGCTGGTAGTCCAGCTCAGCAGGCTGACCAGTGCTTTCTTCCCTCCATTCCTTTCCCTTCCTAGCCTCTGAATTCAGATGTGAAAGTACTAATATCAGCTCCTACCTAGGAATGCCAGATTCACAGCCTTAGGTTTCTGAGGACAGAGTATGGAGACAGCAGTGATAACTCCCAAGGTCCCCTCAGATCCGATGAAAAGCTGCTTCAAATCATAGCCCGTGTTATCTTTGCGCAGAGACGCCAAGCAGTCCAGAGCTGAGCCATCAGCCAGCACCTGTGGGAACACGCAGACCCCGTTAAAGCACCTGCATAGAAACCTGCAGTCACAAGCTTGTCTACTATCAAGCTGATGAAAAGCCACCACTAGCCTCGCACAGTGGACACCAGCTGCAGCCTCTTCCCACTGTCCCATCACTGTTCCTCCATTCCCAGCTCTTCCTCCTCTCTAGACCCTACCTGAGTCTTCTCCCAAACTGTTCTGCTTCTTTGCTCCTGGTGCTGTTTTGTACATGTTCCAACAGGACAAGCAGTAACAGAAGATCGAGTTTGCTCCACTTTTCTTACCAATGGTGGAGAAGATCAGCCATTCTTTGCAGCCCCAGATCCCATTATTCAACAGAAACAATGAACACTATTTGAAACAGTGAATATCGTTAACCAGAATGAAGTAAGGCCTCCACCACTTGAGTCTTAAATCAAGACTGAATGCCTCTAAGACACATTATTAGAGGCTGTTTTGACACTAGGGGGACTAATCTGAGAGAAAAAAAGCTCTCCTTTCTGGGCCTACACAGTAAAACCAAACGGGGCTTTTGTTACCTGCCAAATTTATTTCCCAATAGCTCTTTGCTCCCAAGCCCTGAAATCTTTTAGCACCACTAATCCCAGCCTTCACACATAGAGGCAAGGCCTGTACGGCAGAAGCAGGCTGAGGAACAGGAAAGACTTTAGGAGAAAGCCAGCAGCCAAGCAAACCCGAAGCAGATGGCTCCATGAAAGCCAAGAGAGCAGCCACTAGAAGAGAGTGCCATAGAATGAATTTAGCAGAGCGTTCAGAGATCCACCGCTCCACAGAGGAACCAACATCGTGCAGATAACCTGGGATCACCAAAACTCTCCCTACCTTCTTTTCACTTCTCTGGATCCGAAAACCACCTAGTATCACTTCTGTCAGTAAGGACAGAGGTGGAAGCTGGAAACTGCGGTAGCAGAAACATATGCTACACGCATGAAGACACTTTTTGACCCTTCTCAAAAGAGCCGTGCAAGGAAAAGTTAAGCGTGTAAGCCTCGAGAGGAACTTGTCTGCATCAAGGACAGCTAAGGGCTAGAACATCAGGAGACGGTAAGAAGTAGAGGTTTAAACACAGAAGGGAACTGCCAGGTACTCGTCTTACCACTTCCAGTCCTAGCACGGTCCCTCGGAGAGAGCCGTATCTCAAGAGCCGTAAGCCTCCAGCATTTGTGGCCACATTACCACCGATGTGGCAGCTGCCTTTCGCTCCCAAGTCAAGCGGCATGATAAACCCCTGCTCCTCCAAGTACTCGTTGAGGTTCTCTAAGACGCAGCCAGCTTGGCACACGAGGATTCCTGAAACACAAACGTCCTGCTACGAGCTGATGCAGAAGGAGAAGGTGCCTCCTTTAAGAGGTGGGATAAGTGCAAGCAGATGCGAACGGCTCTTCCTCCAAAACTTTCTGAGATTGCATTTAAACACATAAGCAGCCTGTGCATGCTACAGGGCACTGTCCTAAGCCTCCTCAAGCCTAGGGGAGCTTTGCCATTGCCTTAACATCTGGTCATCCACAACCCCGGACAGGTAACACACAGTGACATGAAGTATAACTGTTGTTCTCCCTCTCTCTCTCTTTCTAAGAACTTAAATACTCAAACCAGCCTGATTCCTAACCCTCCAAACCCAAACAACCTCTAAGGTTTCCCCATACCTCCCTTCCCTCTGCTAGTGTAGCCATCTGATGCCTTCTTCAACACCATCATTCTGCTCCACCTGCTGGGTTTCTCATTTAATTTATGAACAAATAACAGGCTGTCCATGATTCTCTTCTCTCTCTCTTCCTCTTTCTGCCACCAGATGTATTTTTACATCTGCTACCGTTATAACCTAAGGATTACATCAGCAGCCTTGATGAAACGAATCTCTGATGCCCCATACGATGTCACTGGGCTGAACCTTGGTGACCCTGCAGCTCTTGTCTCCCAGGAAAATGGGTGGTTTAGGGCCCAGGCCTCATTTCGGTACCTCACGTCTCTCCGATATTTACCAGACACTTTGTCAAAGCTGATGATCCGGTTCATGAGAACAGTGGAGAGAATGATCTCATCAAAGACAGGAACGCTGCCCCCAACAAGGCCTGTGTTACCCCCCTGTGGGTTCACTGCCAGGTTCCTCTCATAGCAGTACCTGGAAGGGAAAACATTTCCAAAGTATTATGCATGTTAAGGCCATAGCCCCATCTATCAGAAGAGTTTCACCTCCTCATGAATGTCTCCTGTTGCGACAGCGCTCAACGCTCCTTAACATTAAGTGGCATTTAGCCTAAAGGTTAAAAAGATACAAAGGGATGGTTTCACTGCAGAAGTGAGAAAGCACAACTCCTCCTCAAATTCACCCAGAACTTAGCAAAGGAACGAACACTTAGGGTTACTCCCGCGCATGTCGACAGATCGGCCACGCAACATCCGCCTGGAAGTCACAGCTCACTCTGTTTATATGCAAGCTGTTTATGTAGCAGTCTCTGTTAACAACTTGATTTCCTCAGTGGGCTCTGACAGAGGACTTCTGGCAGTGCCTTAAGACATCACTGCCCTTCTCCTCCCCACAAGAAATGAATGACCTGTAGGCAACAAAGCATGTGCATCTATGCCTCCACTGCTTCACCTTCCAGCCCGCCATATCCCTGGCAAAGCACCACCCATCACACCCTCTCCAAACTCACAGAAGTTCTTGCACGACCGATGGCACAAAGCCGCACTGCACCAACAGTTAGTTCAGAAGCCCTGACTTTACTGTCCTCTGGGTATTTGTTCTAGCAGAGCTAGGAGCAGGTTCATGCAGCTTTCAGCTCTTGAGCCAAACAGCGATCCCGCGTACTGATGCCCAGCTGGAGCCGTGCTCACACCCCCAAACCACAGAAGTGTTCTCACTGATTTAGTGGACAAAATGTTAGCTCCTCAAACGGCCTGATTCTGGTCTAACCTTCTTCACCTTTTCACATGGACTCTCCTGAATCCTTCAACACAACTGCCCCCTTGAGCACTGGTACAGCATCTAATTTTGACAATTTATTAGAGCAGAAAAGTCATCAATACTGAATTCACTTGCTTGTCTCTCCCTTCCATTTCTCTCCTCTACACCAAGCACTTTGAAGACCCTTCTACTCAAAGCCATCAACTCTGATTTGATAAGTCTGCTGCTGCCCACTGAGCCTTTGCAAGGACATCTGGCTAGGAAAGATAAATCTAGTTTTGTGAAGCAAATGAAAGTTCGACCTTTGTTTCTACCTGATACTGACATGCCACCATCACCCCAGAAAAGCCAAGGGGCAGGGGAGAGCACACTGGGCCTGGAAAAAACAAGGCACAGGTGAAAGTCCCTTTCTGCCTTGAAAAATTTCAGCTCTGTATGTGAACATGTTCCTCATTATGAACCTGTAGGGTTTTTCTGACAAGTAACACTGCCTACCCACCAGTACACGCATACCCCCAGACTAGCAACAGCACGCAGTGCCTCCTGTCCTGGGAGCAGCTGGAACAAAAGGTATGTCAGGAAACACGGGCAGTAGCAATACAAAGAGCAGAAGAGAGAGCTGAAGTCACCAGAGCTCAACCACAAGACACACAGTCAAGAAGAAAACAGCTTCAGCAATTCCACTGCTTGAGCAATCAGTGCCTGAAGATCTAGATGTTCCCTTCACCTGCCGGACCCTCCCAGAAGAACCCTGAGTTTCCTCACCACAAAGCCCAGCAGGAACGGTGTACGCTACCTGAGAACTTCAGACACCTCTGCTGTTGTCTGCGGCTTCAACATCAGCTTGCTACAGCCTGCAACGCAAGCAAGAGACTCTGAAGGCAAGTTGTGGGCTCTACAGAGGTCAGAGAGAAAAAGGTGGTAAAGTATGATATCCAAAATAAGAATACTCCCTCCGCTGTGAGGCAGAGTACTTTTAAAACAAACATTTTTGATTCCGTTAAAGCACTGTAAAAACTTTGTCTGTACATGTAGACTCGATTGCCAGTGGGGGCAATGGGAAATGTTTTACATTCTCATGAAACCTTTGCCAAAACCAACAGAAAATTCACAAAACTTGTTTTCTGAGGTTCAACCAAAACTTCATGAACTCTGAACTGGACCAGTTTAGTTCAGGAAAAAAGTAGTCAGTTAACAGGGCTTAAGATTTTTTTTAATGAAAGCTTGAAAAATTACCAGAAATGAGGTAATTGTCTAAGGAGTATTTTCTGTCAGGAAAACTCATTTTGCCTTGTCTGTAAAGGCATGGTCTGCTACAAAGAGAAAAGAGATTTTCTTTGGCGGACTTTTCATTATGGTCCCTTAACAGAAGCAGAAAGGAAGCCTTACCAAAACCGAAAAACAAACAAGCTCGCTTACCTCGGACTGACTTCAGCCAGTCCACGTTAAACGGCTTCAGCTCCTCCGGGTTTGTGATGACTCTGCCCGGCATTACGCGCTCAAAGAAGGCCAGGTCGCCGTCGGACAGAGGGGAGAAGGGCAG